CACACACACACACACACACACACACACACACACACACACACACACACACACGTAAATATAGATAAATGGATACAGATAGAGAGAAAGAATAAAATAGCTGCATTGATAGAAAACTACGTGTGCTTTAAATGAATAGAAAAAATAACGGAACGGGAATTTAGAAAATGATCGGATATCTATTCACCATGTACAATGGTTAAAGCCTTACATTTATAAAATTGTTGTGTTCCAGTGATGAAAATAACGTCTTGTAGAATCATCATTGGTGTAAATAGACTAATGGTATAATCAATAAACTTAGACTATTTCGATTACCATCGTGAAATATATTTTATAAAGTGTATTTTTACCGAACAAAAAAATAAAAATAAAAATTGACATAATAGCTATAATAAAAGGAACGAAAACGTGTTAAGTGTACGATATTTTAAAAAAGAAGCTTAAGTAGAGGGAACAAACACTAGCTAAATAACTGGAGAATTGTTTCAGTGTACAAAACCATGCAATGACTTTAACACAATATTTTAATTTTTTTTTTTTCGCGATATGCTATCCAAAACTAAAACAGTAGCATAATCTAGTCCCAGTTTTAACAATAAATAATTTTTCAGATGTTATTTTATTTTTATCAATCGTAACTAAATCGTGAATAGTTTGTTACTTTTTAAGTGATAAAAAAAAACTTTAAAAAATGTAGTCAATTGGAATGTATGATGGGAAAATATTCTCTTGTACCTTAAAATTGTATCGAATCACATAACGAGAAAATCTCGAAATTGTATTTATTTGAACACCACTCGTCACTTTTGCCACTATAATTACCATTGCAAAAGTATCAAACCCAGCCCATTCACATTGCAACTTAAAAAAAAAAAAAAAAATAGTAGATACACTTTTAAATCAAACGTCTTCCCCAATAACGCTAGTAGAACGAAATAGTTTAGTGTCACATAGTTCACATGTAAAATATGTCAGTCCATGTGCAGTGACCTTATACGCTACACTGGAAAATAATTATAAACATTCATTACAATAGCACCGAGACACTTACCTTTCGCGTGTTCTGGGTTGTCCGAACCGGATCGCATAATATCGTTCAAATAATGTTCGAGGTTGCGCATGTTGTCCAAAGGTCCTGTGCCGTTTCCGCTAGGCAAGCATCGTTCCTATAACACATAACAGATACGTACTGAGTTAGTACAGCATTCAACGCTCATGAATACATATGTATATACATATACATATATATGTATACATATGTATACACATGTATATATATATATATATATATATATATATATATATATATTATAGCTAGTTATTGCTTTGTCTAGAAAACACAATAATTGTTCAGTTTTAATTTTTCCAAATGGCCGTATAAGTTCTTGATATAAATAACTTTTAGTACAATTGCCATAGTTATTAGTAAAATTAACAATTTGATTTCTATTATTAGCACAACGTTCGAAACTACGTATTATATACAGCAATAAACAAATATACCATTTTTATAAAAGGAAACCCAAATAATCATAAATATAAGTTGTTATTTATCATCATATATGATACATGAACACTTAAATATAACACTATAATATTGAAAAACTCAATTAATAATTAATGTAACCGCCAGTAAAATCGAATAAGATATTAAAATAAGTTTATTGGGTTTGAAAAATAGTTATAATAATAAATAACTTTTACCAAATGTCATACTGTTACTGTATAAATACTACTTGTACGTATCGAAATCATTATACAAATATTATAGATATAAATACATTATGTTAACTATAAAATGATAATAAACTTCAATTTTAAATATGATAAATAGATACAATATTAATATATTAACTTATAAATAATACATAGTACAAATATACTGTTCATAATGTGGTTTGTGCCAATCTCCTTAAAACTTCATTCAATTTAAGCAAAACGTAAAGAAACCTATCTGCGATATCAATTTGGTAGCATGGATTGTAGGTTTTTAACTATAAAGAAGGTTATACGACGAGATTTGAAAACATATATATATATATATATATATATATATGGCAAAATGTCTCCATTATGGTGACAATTATTTCAATTAGTTTGAAGAAACAATAGATGATGTCTTTCCTACATAACTAGTATATGGTATATAGTTGGATACGTTCAGGGTTGGATCTATTATTAAAATAAAAGAGAAGAACAATATTTCACATAAAGTGAGGTTTAAAAATTCATAACACATTACGGAAGTGAAGCATATTTTAGTGAAAATTATATGGATACATCAGAGCTAGAATACGAGAACTTAATTTTCAATTTAACCTCATAAATATAGTTTATTTCTTGAATACTACCGGATACATTTATATTTAAGTATATTAAATGTATCTTAAATTGTAGCATACAGCAGTAATTTCTTATGAGCTTCTTGAAAGCCATATTCATTACAAACATTTTAAAATCAACGCAAGGAAAACAAGACATAATAAATATATTACGGTGTTGCAGTATATTATATGTTTCGTCACTATGCTAAGTATAATAAATATAAATTATATTTGAACAGGAGCCACAACACTTGATCAGTTTTAAACATTTTAATTAAAAATGTCAGTTGCTATTATTTAATTATATACTATGGTTTGCATCAATCAGGTCTTTTTCATTTTTGTACGTTTATACCTCCCTATTTACATATCATACATTAAACTAAAAATTTATTAAATTAAAAATTATACATACGTATATAAATAACAAAATAATTTTACTGAGTTATATTAGGTTATTTTATGAATATTTTGATATTTTTTATTCAGTAAAATATCATTAAAAAACGCCAGGAAGTTCCAAATAGCATCCGGTGCCAAAGTAAAACTCCTGCTATGTAGTAATTGTAACATAATAGTTTGAAAAAGGCACAGAAAGTTTTAACGCCCACCGACAAATCCAATTTTTTTTGTTTTCATCGCCACACGGTTTCGCATTAATTGGCGGAATTGGAAAACGTTTCTCACTTGGCCAATGTCCATTAGTAGAGATAATAAGTTTGTTCCTCTAATGGGTATTGGCTATGGTTCCTATATCATAGATCCATCGTAGACGCTTTTATTATATTATCGGATTTCATCGGTTTATTATGAACAATTTGTAGGTAGATACCTATATATTATATCACAAGATTTTTAGCATTAATGTTAGTCAAATGTGACCGTTAAATTATAAAAGCAACGAAGAAAATATTGTTCGAAAGTTTAATTATCAATTCAATATAGTCAATAATAGTTAGAAAAATGTTCAAAAAACACTGCAGCATTGGAGTAACTGTAGCAATTAATATTGATTTAGAAATGCGATGATTTACCAATGATGTTAAATAATTAAGCAAAATAATTACAAAACAAGCTGTCCCGAGTCTAGTTGAGATTATACAAACAGTTTCTATTTCCAAAATCTATATATATTTTATCTGTTAGTACTGATTTACGTTTTTAAGATTTACAAAGAAATTGTATTCGCCCTATATTGTAGTAGTAGCTAAATAATTTAAGTTCCATTGCTCTTATATAAGCATAATTCAAACCTTAAAATTAGTAAAACCAATACTATTTCCATTAAATGCTATACCCAAGTAAAATTGAAAACATAAAATGTTGGTAGTAATTTTATACAAACTGTATTGTAAATATAATATACTTCAATACTTCTACGCTTTTTACCGATACTCAAAACCTTTTAATTTGGTTAATTTTTAATTGATAACAAGTTGGTACACATACTAATAATTCAAACATCATACATATTTACTTAGCGTCATATACATATAATTTTTTAATGCTGGAATAATCAGTAGATTACTAAACGAAATAATTATAACCAAAACCCTATGAAGCGGCAAGACCATAAATATAAATATATATTGTATATATAACATAACTATGTAGTTATGACGATGAGTATAAATGTTTTGTAGGCTATTGACTATTGACTTTGGCTATTGCTACTACAATTGAGATGATGTTAAATGTAATGACAGGTCATGTTTCAGCCCTCAATTAGTTGTTGCTCAATTATATAGATTGGCGGAAAAACACTGGATAACAATCAAAAATGTATTTGGCGTAATATGCAAGTTAAATTGTGCAGACATTTTTTTTTTTTTTTACTCTTTAACTTTTGATTCGTGTTCTTATTTTATATAATTATGATTTTGATAAAAAAAAAAAAAAATATTTATATTTTATTATATACAATTAACAAATTATATACAATTAAATTAAAAATATTAATAATTCATTTATCAATTATATTATAGCTAAATGAAATACAAATAATATGACACAATTTATGTTTAATGCATAATTGTATCTAACACGTTTAAAAATAAAATCTAAAACCAAGTTTGATTTGAATACGTTTAGAATTAATTTATAAACATACCATAAGTTAAAATATTAATGATAACCTGAGTATGGATTTTAAAATATAATAGTTTTACTTTTAAATTTTATGAAAAAAATAAAAAAATTGGTGAACTTAGTAAATTGTTTTAAAGGCAATCATTATCAGAATTATAATTTGATATATACCTACCATACACAGTTTACAAAATAAATACTAGTTGAAGAAAAAGTACGTTATGTCAAAAAAATATACAAATTAATTTTCTTCTGTTAAAGCAAAGTAAGTGAACCAAATTAAATAACAAGACATAAAAGGTTGCCTTATAAAATTAATTCGCAAACTCTCTTCTACAGTATGTCCCATAAGTCCCATATCACCCTTTATATCTCCACGGAAAATATATTTAAACGCGGTTTCTTTTTACAATACTTAGTATGGAAATTCTGATTGAATGACATAAAATTCAATTTTTTTCTTTAAAAATTCAAAAAAAAAAATTTTTTATGCATTTAAGAATTTTCAATTTTTAAAATAGCTATTTTCTTGAGCATACTTTTTTAAACAATTCAAAAAAAAAAAAAAATATTAAAATCCAATTTATCCAAGACGGTGCACCAGCACATAATTCAAATACTGTGAGAGGTTGGCTGGAAGAGCACTTCCTGGGAAAATGGATAGGAACAAGGGGTTCAGTGCTTCGGCCACCAAGATCACCCGACTGAACACCAATGGATTTTATTTTATGGAATTATTTGAAAAATCTTGTGTATTCGTCGTGTTCATTGCCTGATCTCCGGGACAAAATCGAACAAAATATTCAAAATATTTTACCTGAGACATCAAAAAATGTTAAAAATGCTTGGGTCTACAAATTTCAGCTCTGTGTTACAAATAATGGAAGTCACTTTGAACATTTATAAAAAAGAATGTCATGCATTATTTTCGTTTTTATGTAATAGTTTTTTTTTTCTATTAACAATCAAGTTTAAAAATATTACATGAATTTTAATTTTAATGTTTTCTAAGAGCTCCACTAATAATTAAATATTTACAGATTGCCATAAAAAATCAGCGTTCCAATCAAGATTGATTAAATCGAGCAATTCGTGTTTTGTTAGGTAATAACTATTATTATTCAAAAACATAACTTGCTCTAATTTGGTCAATTTTTAATCAATTTTAATTTTTTTTTTTTTTTATTGTTTTAAAAATATGCTTGAGAAAATGGCTATCTTAACAATTGAAAGTTCTTAAATGCATATAAAATTTTTTTTGAATTTTATGCCATTCAATCAGAATTTTCACACTAATTATTGTAAAAAAAAACCACGTTTAAATATATTGTTTTTCGGTGGAGATATTAAGGATGATACGGGACTTATGGGACATACTGTATAGTTGAAATCAAAATAATTATTAAATTATATAGTTTCATGAATCACATGCAATTCATTAAAATTATATTTAAAACTTTTGATCGACTTTATAAATGTTTTCTTAATTAATCAATTTTTAGAACATAAAACATTATTTTACGAATAAAATTATTATACCTACTTATATTTCAAACATACGTGACACCTAACTTCTTTGATTAAAACTTTATGCTCGCATCTAAACCCTTCTTATAATCAATAACGATTCTACTTTTCCCAAATTAAATTTCCACTTACTATTGCACAAGTTATTGGTTTAAGTTTATCTTTACTCTATTTGATTATTTTTACTTTTATAACGAGTTTTACAACAAATAAAACAAGTAAAATAA